ACTTAGTAAAAATTTAGTGAAACTAAAGGTTTTACCGTTTTGCCAAATCCAAAATGAGTTTAGACAAGCAACCTTAGTATCATCTTTATCATCATTACTTTTAAAGATACTATATTAAGATTCAAAAATCTTATTTTCTGTTGAAAGTTTACTAAAATATATTTTTAATAATACAGTACTTATATAATGATAAATATAATTTAAATTTAATTAATTTAATAGTAAAATCTTTAGTATGTTTGTGATTAATACAATCACGTAAGAAAAGAAAAAAATAAATATATATAAGAAAGATATATTATAATTTTTTTCAAATAAGATTCTGAAATATGCTAGATAATTATTAAGTATATTTTAATTGATAATTCTTAATAAAAGTTTTATAAAAAGTAAGGATTTTTTAGATTGATATTAAGTATATTTACATTTTTAGTAATATAATATATTAAAAGAAAAAATTGCAACTAATTAATTGCAACTTAATAGTTTATTTATTTATCCTGAAGGGAAGTGTATAATAGTATTTTAATTTTTTAGTTCTTTTATTTTTTTTTAATTTTTAATTTTAATTTTAAAATTTTAAAATTTTTGGGAAAAGTAAATTCTTTAAAATAGGATATTTTGGATTTTTATTTTTATTTAGTTTTCATGCAAAATTAAAGTTTTTTGTGATTACAAAATTTCGCTAACTTTGCCCAAATCTATAGTATCAGCCTGAGTTAAATTTAACTGTTTAATTAACTGGTTAAGAATTTTTGGGTCAGTTCCTACTTATAGTACTCTTTTCACACTTTTTTTATTTTTATTTTTTTTAGTAATAGATTTTATTACTTTTCACATATTCACATCTATTTTTTTATAATAATTTTATATATAGTCATTTTTTACTTTTTCTGATATAAGATATCATTCAAAAGTCTGAAATTCAATCATGGATTATTTTAGATGATCTGGAATAAGAATACATTCATTTTTAATTTGTATTTTAAATAAGGGTTGAATCCCAGACATTTATACTGGATTAGTTCTTTAAATTTCACAAGGATCATATCTTCTGTAAATAAATTTTATTCAAATTGATTTTATATAATTTCTCATCCTCATCAGAAGTATTAAGTTTTTTGCTTAAATTTACATTATTAATTAATAAATTTTATTTCATAAGAATGTTTTTAAATCTGTTCTTCTTTAATAATTAGTAATACATTATATATTATAGAGGGTAGTGTGATAATAGGAGTGGCATACAGAATTATTTATTTAATAATGATCTAATTTATTGACCTAAAATGTTAACAAAAATATATAAAACATTTAAATAAATAAAATTAAAATAATAGAATAAACCAACCTTAAAAAAAATTTTTTTTTTATCATTGCATTGTAGCAGGAGAAAATCTAAACTGAAAGTAATGAGAGAAAAATACAAAATGGTCGATTCAATTATTTTAATAATAATGCTTAAAACTACAAAATCAACGTTTTGACAAATAGATCATACATTATTATAGATTTGTTGTGAATTACTTGAAGAGTATATCTCTCATTATATTGTAAACTAAGAATATTTCTCAATCAACTGATATAAGAAACATAAATTAATTGTACTTTTAATACAGTCCAAATTAAGACATATACAAACTCATCGAATTTTGAGATTTCTTACTATAGATGAATTGTAATTTTTTTTAAAAAGCTCATTGAATTAAGATCACAATTTAAATATATAAAGTTTTATCTTCATTACATGGATCTTGGACAATATATGATTGAAGTAAGATAATTTGGTTGAACGAACCCAAAATTTATGATTTATTGCTAAAAAAAAATTAACTGGAGAAACCCAAAATATGGAACGTCAATCAATTTATCAAACTTTAATTAACGAAGAAAAGGAACAAGAATTTTTTAACAAATTAAAAAAAGTGCAAAAGAAAATCCATTATTGCCTCAGCCAACGCTCTTTAATAGGAGAAGATTCTAATTCTCTAAATTATCCTAAGTATCCTTAAGCAAAAATGAAGTTTGTTTATACAAATTCGAAGATTAACCAATTAATTCTAATTAAAAAGAACAAACGATCAGAATATTTGATCTAAGCTCTTTTTTAAATTAGGAATTCCCATCAAAAATAGTCATTAAGTGGCCGCATTCTTCATTCGGCTAGAATTTATTGTGGAATTGACTTTCAATGCTGCCAATACAATTACTATCCCGAGAATACTTGGTAAAAATGAAACAAGTAGGGTGACATATGTGGAAAATAATAATTTTTGTCGTAAAACGGAGTTTATATAAAGTATGTATGTTTGCTGCTAATGTCAAGTTACTATAATACATTTGCTAAAATAGTCAAGCTTTGACGCAATGATATATGTACTATATTATGATTTGCAGTGGGATACGGATAACAAAGGAGTAGAATCGACCACCAGTGTGGCGTATGATATAATTTAGGGTGTATTGTTCTAAACACTACACCACACCACACTTCAAATAGATATATTATCTCTCAACAAACCTAACCTCATTCTCACAACTTACTCACCACGGTCGATTAATACAATACCATACTCTATAAAATAATTTCAACAGACTAATACTTATATATTCGTAAGTAAATACAGTATAGTTATTTTATAATTATAGCACTTTTTTGACTTAATTGACAAACATAACGTTGAATCAAGTAATAAATTAATCTAAGATCTATATAAATACTAAATTTCTGATTTTTTATAAATTATCGTATAGTAATACCGAATTTACAAATCAGAACGAATTTTCTAAAATCGTGCTACAATGCAAATTTCTGAAACGTACCGCACCAATTACAATCGAAATATATGATCTCGCATGTTATACATGAGAGTATAACTGAGCTGTTTGCGAAATGTATCAAAAATCAATAGCGATAGCGAAACTTATATATTCATTTTGAAAATGTGCAAATGCTTCGAGGAAAAAACAGTAAAGTAAATATAGTTTTAGTTTGCAATACAATTTTAATCTTGTACTTCGCCTGAATTAAAACATATTTTTTTATGATTGTAATTCATATATATTTAACGAAACACCATAGATATACAGATTTATAAAAAGTTGTATGATTTTCTTCATTTAATGAATTACAATTATCAAAACTATTAGCAATGATAATGATAAAATTAATGTTAGGTTAAAAACATTAAATTCCTCCAGAAAATACATTATATTGTAATTATAGACTCCGAATAGCAAAACGAACATATTGTGAATTAAGTTCAGTCTATTTATTATCTTCAATTTAATTTTTTTTTTTTGTATTATTAGTGTAGTGTAATTGTTATTAATGATTGGTTCTTATGTAACAGAATATTTCCATTGATGAAAATTTTAAATTTAATAATTTTGTGACAATATTTACAGAATTTTGTTTCGTATAAAATCTGTAATGATAAAAAAATTAAATGAATACACTCAAATAGACTATAGCAATGCAAGGTAGACGATGATATTTAAACGTGCGCAGCAAATAAATTATATTTTATATTTATTGATATAAGGTAGCCTGAAGTTTCGACAGGTGTCAAAATAGAGATCAGTTTTGATGTTTTGCCAAATTTTCGATGTGTGACGAAAGTTTCGACGGTTGGTAAAAGTTCTGATGTGGTTATTGTTTCGATGGGTAGTAAACCTATCAAAACCTTAAATAGAAAATTCAATTATCCAAATAAAATTTCTTTCGGTTACATTTTAATAAAACCTTTTGGAAATCTTGAAAATTTTCTTAAAATCTTTTCTTTAATCCAGAATTATGTCCGAATATTTGTCTTCGTTCAAAATAAATTCTATTACTAACATGTTAAAACTATTGAATTTTACAAAATTATTTGAATTGAAAACTTGAATTAAAGTCGTCAAATTGTTGAAATCCTGTTCGAAACCCGTCAACACGACACGACGAAATTATTTTCGAAAAGTTTCGCCGCATAGCTTAGTGATCTCGCATTAATGGTTAAATAAATATCAAATTGGCTTTACAATACAAGTTTTCCTTATTATAATATATAATAATAAAATTTGCATGATTTCTATGCAAAATCAAATAAACGAAAAATTAAATTTTATAGTATAATATACATATGATAATTAACTTTTTATCTTTTATTGCAAAAATAAAACATTATAAAAATCTTTAATGCTTCATTTGCAATATCCCAATTAATTACAAAAAAAAAAAAATCAAAATTGTAAACTTGACCACCGGGAAATGAATCATAAGATAATAAAAAATAAAAATAATAAAAAATGTACTTCTCCACACATGCCCCAAAGTCTGTTCCTTATTGTTGGCCATTTATTTTTTATTTCGTTAAAGTAAGTTAGTTGAGTTGTATTTCCGATGTCAAACCGTCCTAATGCACTAGAATGTTCTAACTGGACCGCATGCCTGTCTTTACATGTTTTACATGTTTGGAGGTTCAATGATGTATCGATCGTTCGTGAGTACAAAACGCTATAGTGTATTGAAAGGCTCTTGCTATATTTCAGCTAAAAAAATTAATATTATGCAATTTAAATTAATTTATTGACAAATTATTGATCGCATCAGAAATTTCTAATTCAATCAAAGTTGAATCATTTTCATTAAGCTTTTGATTTTCGGAAGTCTCATTAATGAGCTTTGCATTATTAATAGCTATATGTATGGAAGAAAATGTTTGTTAATAAAAATAAAAATAAAATAAAAAAAGAAATGATAAATTATAAAAAAAATAAATACACTTAATATTTTCACCATCATTTTCATCAACTTTATGTAATATATTATATAACTTTAAATGAGCATGTTCAATATCAGGCCTTTCCACTGGTTCCGAATGCCAACAGGAAGTATAAAGTTTACAATAATCATATGGCGTATTCGGAATTTCTTTTTCTCTCTCTCCATTGATAATCTTTAATGATAACTCTAGACCATAGGAAATATTTACAAATGGTATATTTCCACTAGATATCTCCCAAAATAAAACTCCAAGACTATAAATATCAGACTTAACTGAATATGATGCTGAACAATGATTATTAGATTTAAATAACTCTGGCGCCAAATACGGAATCATTCCAAATACGTCATTATGGATATTTGTTTGCGTTTCCAGACTTTTAGAGTTTCCAAAATCAGTTATCTTTGCACTTCCATTAAGTATCACTACGTTTTTTGAATGCTAAAAAAATGTATTTATTATTAGTTAATATACAGAAAAGACATTATAAACGTATCTTACAAGATCTCTATGCAATATGTTAATCCCATGTAAATAACGTAATCCGTTTGTAATATCAAAGGCTAGCTGTAACTTTTTATCCCAATCAAGAGTTCGAAAATTTTCTTTTAGATATGTTCGCAAGTCACCACCATCAGCATATTCCATAACAATGCAATAAATGTTGCTTTCCGATTCTATTAATACAAAAGAATCATTTTAATTATTTAAACATATGGTCATATTTACTATTTATTATTACTCACGTTGTGTAATTCCTAAAATACGAATGATATTTTCACAAACATGTCCTCTAGTTTGTATTTGTATTTCGTGTTGAATTGCATTAATGTCATCTAAGATAAGTCTTTTACAAACAACATCTTTGTTCATTTTCTTCCAATGTGTTTTAAATACTTCTCCAAAACGACCTTTACCAACAGGCGATCTACTGACTAAATCATTCCATTTTATATCTGTGATAAAATTATTTTTAATTGAGTCTTTTATCCAAATTTGTGATGGTAATTCACCATTTTGGGATGTATCATTTGTTATAAAGTTAGCTTTAATTCTATTTAATTTATAAAGCTTTTGTAATTTGGTAAGAATCTTTGAAAATTGAGGTCTATTATTTTGATCAGGATGAGTAGCTAGGATATTTTACAAAGGGTTAGCATTTAAATATAAAGGGTAAATAGGTTTATTTAAAGAGAGTAGATAAATTAATACCTTGTTCTGCAAGTTCACGATATTCTTTTGGTAAGGGAGAATCAAAAGAAAATGCTTCACGATATCCTTTGTTGCATACTTGATCAGTAATTTTCATAATATCATCACCAAATGTCTCATAAGGAGTTTTTTCTTCAGCTATTTCCCAAAGAAGTACACCAAAGCTATATACATCACACTTGGTATCATATTTGTTTTTTAATAATAATTTTTCAGGAGCGCAATATCGTATAACTTCTAGAGTTGCTTCTAGATTTCTTATTTTATCTTTTATTGATCGTCTTGCCTTAAAATTTGCAATTTTTACAGTATCGTTATCGGTAATTAAGATATTCTCGGCTCTGATGTCACGATGAACGATCTGTCGAAATCAGATATTCAACCAAAAAAACAACAAATGAATTCTTTTAGAAATCAAGAAATTTTCTTGAAGGAAATATTGAAAAAAAAAAAATTGAAATAAATTACCGAAGCAGCACACAAGTAATTTAAACCACTAGAGATGTCAAGAGCAAATCTTAATTTCAGACTGACTTCTAGTGGACCATATTTTTGATAATATTCACGTAAATTGTAATCAGCCCATTCCATCACCAAATAAATTTTATTATCATTTGAAGTTAAACCATGAAATTGAATAATAAAATGACATTCTTTCAACTTTTTTAAAATCTTGACTTGTCGCTTAAAACTAGCTTTCTGTTCATCGGTGCTACTTTGATCAGCCACCAATTTTAATGCTACATGGTCATTCATTATTTTCCTTCTAAATTTTCTTACATTATGATTTGCTATAGGTTCATCGTCTTCTTCAAAATCATTATAATCAAGTAATTCACTATCTGTTGAATTAGCTTGTGCCATTTGATTCATCGTAGTATTAAGAGCATTAATTTGCATAATAATTTCGGAGACATTTTGATTTACGTCAGTTATACCGCTGCCTATATTTCCAAGATACTATATAAAGACGTAAGAGTTCTATAAAATAAAATTATATGCGTTCATAAGGATCAAATTATATTATGCGTTACCTGATATAAATCTTTGATATCAGCCTTAATATCTTTGTTATCTTTATCAGCACGCCTTAAGTCAACTTGTAAAGAAAATTCCAGAAGTTGTATAGTCGAATCAAACTCATTCATTAATTCTTTAACACTTTTTTCAATATCCTTGGCATGAATATACTTGTGTAACCCTTTTAACTGAGAAATTTCTTCAACGAATTTACGAATTTTAACAATAACGTTAAGTAACTTTTGTAAATTAAATAAATTTTTTTCTGAAAAAAATTCACTGCTTTCTTCTCTACTGTGTTTAATATTTCTAACGGCCTTATCAGCTACTTGGACTCTATCCAGCAATATCCCACATATTCTTTTATTATGTTCCGCTGTTTGATATATTTTTACTATTTCATTGAATATTTTGGCAATATCTGTAATAAGCGGTAAAAAATTTCCAAATGGAACTGCCAAGTTTGTTACAGTAATCGATGCTGTAGTCATGATGAGCGTTGATTCTACACTTATTTCATCATCATTTATTGATAGAGTTGCTTTCGGAATTGCAATTTTTTCTGTATCGTTATCGATAATTAAGATATTCTCGGCTCTGATGTCGCGATGAACGATCTGTCGAGATAAGTTAATTCACCCAAACATAATAAAACGGATTCTTTTAGAAATAAAGAAATTTCTTGGATGAAGAAAAAAATTGGAACAAAAAACATAATAATAATAATAATAATAAATTATTGAAAGAAATCTAAACCCCTAGAGATTTAAAATTAGCTTTCTGTTCGATCAGCCACCAATTCTTACATTTTGATTTGCTATAGGTTCATCAGGTTCATCGTCTTCTTCATAATCGTTATATTCAAGAAATTCATTATCTGTTGAATTGGCTTGTTCCATTTGATTCACCTTAGTATTAAGAGCATTAATTTGCTCGAACACTTTAGAGACACTTTGATTTACGTCAGTTATACCGCTGCCTATATCTTCAAGATACTATATAAAAACGTAAGAGATCTATAAAATAAAATTATAGGCGTTCATAATGATCAAATTATATCATGCGTTACCAGATAAAAATCTTTGATATCAGCCTTAATATCTTTGTTATCTTTATCAGCACGTAACCTAAAGTCAACTTGTAAAGAAAATTCTAGAAGTTGTATAGTCGAATCAAACTCATTCATTAATTCTTTAACACTTTTTTCAATATTCTTGGAATTAAGATACTTGTATAACCCTTTTAACTGAGAAATTTCTTCAACGAATTTACAAATTTTAACAATAACGTTAAGTAATCTTTGTAAATTAAATAAATTTTTTTCTGAAAAAAATTCTTTGCTTTCTTCTCTATGGATTTTAATATTTCTAACGGCCGTATCAGCTATTTGGACTCTATCCAGCAATATCCGACATATTTTTTTATTATATTGCGCTGCTTGATATATTTCTACTGTTTCATTGAATATTTTGGCAATCTCTGTAATAAGCGGTAAAAAACTTACAAATGGAACTGCCAAGTTTGTTACAGTAATCGATGCTGAAGTCTCGCTGAGCGGTAATTTTACGGTGTCTCCAGAATTATTACTATCAACTGGATGTTCATTTGTATGCATTATAAAACTAGATTTTCAAAATTTTCGAATGAGAAGGAAAAAAAAAAAACTCCATTAGGTTCATTAGAAACATTCAAAATGGTACTGTAAGTTTCACAATTGCACAAAATATGTACTTGAATACTAAATAATGTCACAAGACAAATTTAATTACCTAAACAAAATTTAATTTACAATTATCAAATCGATTTTTTTCTATCACGTTACACAAATAATATGTGTGGCACCTTACGGAACATAGTAAATCATATGATCCGTAATAGCCGACATAAGTGGCGCATTTTTGCTATTTTACAAAAGGTATAGTTTCAAAAAAAAAAAAATTTTTCTGCGGCGTATTGGGGAGCACTAGTCACAACAGATCAATTATATAGAATCGTTGTTTTATTTACTAGTAGACATAATAAATTTAACAAATAATTAATATAATAGAAATTATAAATAAAAAAAATATAACAGATAAATAAAATAAATAAGGTATGTTAAACAATATTTGATATGCAGACATTTTTGATATGCACTGCAGTTGCTGCGCCAATCGAACGTAACGGCCACTTTTTAAACTGAAAAAAATTTGAATATAAATAACGAATTAATAAATAAATTTTAAATAAATGTATTTATATTAACGTTATTATTGAATATTACAAAAAAAAATATTAAAGAATTAATAATTTATTCTATTTTCATTTGCGGTAAAAATCACCTTAATCTCCAGCGCATATTTTTGATAAATTTTCTGATGGCATGCATCTTTAACATACTTTTCTTTAATATTAGATGGTGATGGAATATGATGACATATTGTTAGACCCGTGGATGAGTCTATCCGGATATCTGTCAGATACAAAATATGTTACAGATATCTGAACAATAAGTGAATCTCTAAAGGTTTATCTCTTTGTTCACGAATTGGATAAGAATATTACGACTAACGCTAGAAGTATATATTATCATGACGGATTGTAATAAATCAAGATGACGTAATTTACTTCTTTGATAATAAGACTTGTATAAAATAAAAATAAATGAATTATTTTCAGATTATCGAAAACATAAACTTTTTCTGTTTGGATGGATATATGATAAGATAGACAAATTGAAGGTAGGATAAACTTTTACAATCTTGCAAATATATAAATGATATATTTGATGAAATTTAAATGGAAAATAATTTAGCAAGCAAAGTAAATTACTTTTGTTAAACTATAATAATTGTTACAACTATGTATTGTAAATTAAAAATCTGTATAAAAAATATAAAATAAACCCTTCTTTAGTATATTGTATCAAATTATTAATCAGGTCTCTGGCGTAATCAAATGAACACAACTGAAGTATCAATTCGATGTGTCAAAATAACCATTTATGACTTCAGAAATTAAAGCTATGGGAAGGAAAATTTGTTGTAAAAATGCTTTGTTTTGCTTTATGAGCATAGTAAATCATATCTGTTTCAAATTTCAATACCTATTTTACAGCGCACGCATGTTGATGTCATCATCGATTTTCTCTGCTTTCAGCATTTTTAACAGCTGATTTAAATGACTAAAAATATTCCGGATAATAGCTCAAATTGATGGATTTGTCATATTTAGAACAAGGCTTAAAATTTTAATTGACGATTTACCAAGCGCACTTTTCTTTGCATTTTTTTTAAAAAAGAATTCTTCACTTTCAATTAAAAAAAAATGAAATATCAGTTTTAATCAGTGAAAAATCAGAATGAAAGCTACTTTCAAAATAAATAAATAAATAAATACTACAAATAGACACATTGTAATTTTGGAAAGTATTCAAAACAACCTCTCGCGTTAAAACTTTAATTTCATAATTAAAGAAATTTCTCATGAGGTCATTATATAACCTATTATATGTAATTTTAAAAAAATTTATTTTCATTCAATCAGAAAATTACAAAAATTGGTAAAATTTTTACAATAATAAATAACTGAAATACAAAGTAACAAAGCCTCACATACTGCGGTAAAATCTTCAACATGATTATGTGAAGTAACCACTAATCGACGACGCGTTTCTAAAATATTTTTTTTTGTCAAGCAGTTATATCGTGCGAAGCTAGTTTCACCTAATTAGATCTACAGTACAAAGTGTTTCCAAAAGGATATATGAGGCGAAACTAAAGTTCACTGGACGAAAAGTTTCATATTTGAGAAAATGATTTCGCTCGAAACATTAGTCAAGCCTTACAAATGTATATTTTTTTTGTTAATACTTATTAACACCACTATTCAACATGCCCACTTTCAATTTCAAATTAACTTTATTACTAAAATAATTTATTACGAGAAATTCTTGAATTTGTTCCATATGAGAAGTGGTCAATAATCGACCACGAAGACTGCTTATTTTGTCTTTTATAAAACGTTGCGATCTATTAAAGATGATATGAATAAGCCTCAAGAAATCCGTGACGTTGTCAAAGAACCCTATAGCAAAAAGTTAAGTATAAAAAATAAAAAATGGGTCTTAGCTACATATGTTCTTGTACCTATAAAATGGGATGGAAGTGGATACTATACTTAAACTGGTTACATTTTATTAAGTTCGTCTTAATAGCATCATGTGATTTATCAGGCGAAAATTATTGAAGAAGATCTAATGATTCTAGAGGATTCTACAAAAACTTTTAACTGTTTGTATATTCCTGCATCAAACCTTCAGATTTTTTTTTATTCTTTTGTGAAGCATTTTCTCATAGAGTTTTCTTTTATATAGGCCGGGCTAGTAAAGTTAGTTATAATAACTTATCATTACCATTTTCGTCAGATTTATCAACACCAAACACAAAAGGAGAAAAGATATGTGCAACTAATTCATTAAGAACTATATATCTAGTTCCTGAAAAAAATCAGAAATGGAATGTTATGTCCCTGACAAAGAAGTACCTTGTATCAATAGATATCCTTGAGATCATCAAACTGCTGTGCAATCTTTTGAAAAGGTTACTAATTAAAATAGGTTCTTCCCGATCTTCTTATAAAGATAAGTTTATTTGAGCAAAATACGTTACTAGGAAAAGTGTCTATAATGCAGAGATGTACTGAATCCTGCATAATAGGTTAGCAAAGTACATGGTTTTATGATAACTGGTCAATGGTCCTTGAAAGTGTCGAGACTATGGGAATTACCATCACATCACAATTATTATGAATTTGTAATTATGAATTTGTAATAAAGAAAAGCAATAATCAAAATCCACTTGCTTTACTCGAATCCTTAGCAACATTCTCTCACAAATTTGAATGAGCATTTCATATTTCATAAGGGTTCCAGATTAATCCCATCATCCTTTTCCTTTAAAGATTTGGGTATGCATTTTACTTGTGATGACGAGTTTACCAATGTTCCATATTTTCCTTGGAAAAAAATGCAAAATAGGAAGCTAAATATATGCATTTCTGGCATGATAGGGAATTCAATAATGTACGAATGAGTTTCAAAACATTGGATGTCCTTGGTAAATACCAAATGTCATTAAACCTCCAACGAGGAAAAGATATTAGGTGAGTCTTTCTTACGATACTATGATAAAAATTAATATAGAAATTTAATCTAGAATAATTTCTTATTCAACGGTATGTTTATTAATTTAATTTAACTTTATTACTTTACAGTCAAATACGAAAATAATAATTTATGTATATTTGCTTTCCTTATTTTATTTAGCCGGAATAAATCTGGCAATTTTTTATTTTAAATAAAAAATATTGTAAGGGAATTTAGATAGAAGATATAAGAAAAAGGTATCTCTTATCTCTCATCTATTATAATGTAGTATTTACTAGAAATTCTCATGATTTTATGTTGTTTCCTTTTTTTGATACCATTTATAACTAAAGTTCACTATTGCTATAAAAATAGTGAAGCAGAAAATTCCACTTATTGTACCAATACTAACCTTCATTTTATTTGATTGATCCGATTTGTTTTCTGAAATATGTGAAGTGTTGTAGCTGTTGAAGACGTTGTTATCGTAAAAGGTATAATTTCTAATATCTATCAAATAAAATTTTGAATTTATATATAATGGTTTATCTTTTTATATTTCCTATACAAAAGTTTAGACAAAAACAAAACTCATGTAAAATAATTACCGAAAGCTACAATCATATAATTTTTATATAAAATTGCTGTATGAGATGAACTTCATCAACATTTGATGATACTTTTGGCACAGTCCATTCAAATAGAATTGTTTGTGTATTTAAGATCGCTAAGACTGGAGTAACTTAACTCTAAGAAAGCCAGCTACGTCATGAATAATGATCCTTCTATCAGGAGTTAATAATAATACATATTTAATAAAGATACCAAGCGATATTTGACAAAAAAATATAATATTATTAAACATACCTAATACAGCTGAATATAAGAGCGGGATTCGATTATAGAATCATTTGTTTCCATCTTAATTATGAAATAAAAATTATAAAATTAAAAAATATATCTTGTCAAAATTTCACAAAGGTGTTTATAACAATATATGAGACTTACGATTAATATCTACTTCTTATAATTTTTGTTCAAATATAATTGGATAGTAATGTCACGCTATAATCTGATGATAAAGCCATATGACCATACTAATTGATCAATATTTAATATTTCCATATCATTAAAAACTGTAGTATTTTGTGATCCCAAAAAAGACATAAATATTTCCAAAATCATTGGCAATAACACGAAAATCTTCTTGTCTTTTTGGAACTTCTCCTTTCATTACAGGCATATTCCACCGTCTTGATTTGCATTAAATGAATATACCAGTGAAGTGAATGAATCTTCATTATTTTGATTCCTCCAATCAGGTAAATAGTTGTGTTATTATCATTGCTGTAGCTGCCCAACAACTTTTAAAATTTGTTCCTGACTCATATGTAAGATCGGTCCATAATTAAGATTCTACATTGAATCGTTGAGATAAATCAAGATATATTACTTCATTTAAACAAGAACCACCATTGCTTCCGCCAAAAAAATAAAGATTATTTCCAACAAGAGTTGAGGAATGATCATAATGTCCTTCAGGAGTAAATGACTCGACTCTAAATAGAAGTAAATAAAAAAAACAATTTATACTTTTTGCAAATCATAATTTTTTTTAATTGAATAAATTTTAATAATGTGTATATGTGTAAATAAGAAAATCTTTAACATTTATGTTAGTGTTACATGTACATACTATAATGTCTTATTGCATTAATAGCCGTCCACTATTTGTGCTTGTTACATAAAGATATTTGTGAGTCATTTGTAAAAGAATTTGAAAGAAAAAAAGATTAGCCCTTAATTATTTTTATTTTATTATTTATTATTTAAATTTTCAAATTAAATTATTTATATTTATAAAAGAAAAATAATTTTTTTTTTAAAAAAAAATCTTTTTACTGAATTGCCATGGCATGCCAAAGCGATTAAAATTTGATAAGTAAAATCTAATAAAAAATAGAGATTAAACTGGCTTAAAATCTTTAACCGGTTAATTAACCGGTTTGGGCACCTAAAGTGCTGTGACCGTATGACATGAGCCCTATCAGTTATTGTATATCACCAACGCACGCGATTGCTAATAAGCACTCATTATTAACTCTCTAATAAATTTTCAAATTTTTTTTAATAAATTTGTTTTACCGGTATGATCATTTCAGCACTTACTGGCGCATTCAACCATCAACTCTAACACTATCTTCATCTTTGATATCAACGCCATCACCATCTTCGCTAGCCATAAATTCATTAATATCATCATCAATATGCTATAGAGATCTTGACTCCCATCAGATTCGTTATTCTACATGATTTAAAAGACTTAATAATTATCTCATCTGAGTTTGTTTTCAATGAAAGTTTGACCACACAACTAAATGTCCTTAATATTGCACAATTTAGGTTTTTTGACAGTAGTATTCAAGCACAACCTCTGGACATCCAGATATGGTATTCATTTTTTTTAAATTTATTTTAAATTATCTATTAATCGAAATATCGAATGTTTGATAGATGCTAATGTTAATAGCAGTTCTTTGATGTTTACGGTTATAAACGGAGTTTTAAGGTAAGCAGAAGGTATCGTATCGTGTTTTATTGTTTTACTAATTTTATTAATAATATCTTAATTCTAATCTAATACAACATAAATAAACGTCGACGCTCTATACAATCAGGTATGTTTATTAATTATATCTTTCGGAGTTATTATAATAAAAATATGTAAAAGGGAAATAATAATGATACTTTCATTTAGGGAATTATCTTACTTTTCAAGGATTGAATGGTATTTATTATAGCAAATGTGAACTGTATTAATCTTTATAATTATCGTTGTAGGAAAATTGTATTGCTCATTGTTTTTTATTAAAGAAAAATTCCGCCATTTATATATGTAAAATTTAACAGGACATTTTTGTCCAGGAAACTAATTTGGCCAATGGACTAATTTGGCCAGAAAACAATTATGGCCATTGAACAATATTGGCCCAAATGATTTTCATCAATGATCGCTAGTTAAATTCTTATGATACGACTTAAAATAACACGTTAACTGACACATGATTTGTGTTCGGTGATCACTTTTTACAATAGTAGGCTTTCATTATTGGAGTGGAACAATATTAAAAGAGGCTATGTCTTAGGATCGTATGAAATAAAATGAATATTTATTTATTGATTTTTTAATAATCAGCGAAATACAACAATTAAATAAAAGTTCCATCATTCATTAAATTAAGTTTACATCAATAAAAAAAAACTTTATATTAGCAATAACCGATACAAATCAAAAAAAAAATTTCAATTAAATTTTTAAATTTTACACTTTATAAATGACATCAATTGAAAGGATGAAGAAAGTTGAATGGATAAAAATTAATTTATTTTATTATAAGTAATTCTTTATGAAACTTGATGAAGGATTAAGTGAGTAAAATTAAGCTGAATTTATTTTAAAAAAAATTATGTCAATATTTGATAACCTTCATTTATTAGAAAATAAAAGTAAAGATGTTAAAAACAAATTAATCAAATGTTTTATGTTTCATTGCTTAAAAATTGTTTTTTAAAGTTTTATAACTGTTATATACTTAAAAAATTGAAAAAATTAATACCACTTTTGCCGATTTTGATTTTCAAAGCTGGAATCAAAAATCGTCGTTTTTAGCAGCCGCTTAATCGTTTCAAAAATCGATATTTAACTATTCCAATCTCTATGCTGAAATCAAGAACAAGAAATTAATAACGTTCGTGAATTGTGGGCAGAATTTTAATTGCATGCTTATGTATGATTATCTTAGCATTAAATTAAAGCTTCATGGAAGCACCATTCTCACTAACTTGAGGTTGGAACCGGCCCAAAAATCCTTAACCGGTTAAATTCAACTCAGGCCAGCACTATAAATTTGGGCAAAACTAGGCAAATTTTGTAATTGCAAAAAAATTTTAATTCTGCCCGAAAATTAAATTTCGGCCAGAGTTAACATTAAATCTTTTAACCGCCTAAAAAAATCTTTAACCGGTTAACTAGATAAACGTCTTAACCGGTTAATTAATCGGTTAAAAATTAACCGGTTCCAACCTCTAAAAGGCATACTTGAATTTGAAATAAATATCTTTACTAAGTTAAATATAAATGTTTGCACATGGATCGTTTGCTATTTAAATGTTCTGACATGATTTTATAGAACCATCCCCACATGTTCACTTTTTGAAAAAATTCAAATTGATATTTTTTTTATATTAAAAAAAATCTCCATATTGTTGCACGCAGTTAGGAGTGTTTATCAATTATAAACAAAGGGAAATGTAAGCAGAAGGTTTATATGAAAGTCAATTTTATTAACAGCGACGGAATTTAAATAATATACAACGCAAATAAAGATTTCCTCAATCTTTAAGATCAGATTCGTTATAGTTTACAATAAAGGGAATTTAAACTATCTACTTTCTATTTTCTAGCAACATTCGGCACACATATTTTCTCAAGTGAAATCCCAACTTAAAACCTATCAAGGACTTGTTGTCTAGAACCTTTTTGTCCACGAAACATAATGGCCGGTAGACAATTTGGCCAGGAGACGAATTGGCCTACGAACTACAAAAAGTCTAACTAAAAACAAAATAAACTAAAAAAAATTGGGAAACAATGACCCGGGACCAATAGAATATGGTACGCGATAGATCCATAATAAGATAAGGCTCTTTTGAACAATTGGACTAACAATTAATCTCTGTAACAATATTGTATTACGTCATCTACTATTCATCAATTTTAAGGGGGTGACGTTCCACAAATTTCTTAATCTAAATTCTTTATGACATCTTCCTCTAACTATATTTGTCTTAATTATGTCACAGGTCTTTAAAATCCGGAATTTTATATTGCTGTACTTCAATATTAATTATCAAATTATTTGTAATTTTTTTTCTTTCCATAAAAATGTTAAACCATGATGTAAATGTGATAATTGAAGATGAAGCCGGTAAAAGTAATGCTTATTATAATGTTATTTATCTATTATATTATATTTTACGTTGTTTATTAATTTATATTAAATTTATTTATTTAAAATAAATAATATAATAGATAGTGAGTTATTCGATCTGTATATGTAATTTATAATAACCAAGTTTTGTATAATTAATTTATATGATTAAATTTTTGCAACTATATATTTTGTTTAAAAAATTTAATATAGATTGTAAGTAATTTTTATTTGCCTATAATTTATTTTTGTATTATGCAAACAACTAATTTTTATTTTATAAAAATATATAGTTAGTAAGTTATTTTATTAATTCTCGTGCTTTTAACTAATTATTTTATACTTTAAATGTAATTGATTTTATATATAATGATTGATGTATTATAGAAGGTAATTTTACTTTTTTTAAAATATTTTATTATATTTTTGACATTAATTTATAATTTGATTAAACTAATTAAATATTTCTAACATCAGTTGGTAAGTTATTATTTATATTAATTTAAAATTTTTTATTTAATAATAATATTTTTATTTTAATTTATATTAATATAAATTTTACAATATTTTTATTAAACCTTTACAGATAGTAAGTTATTAAATAAAATAATGGTATTTAATATAATTAATATTAAAATTAATTTTTTATTAAATATATTATAAGTTGTAAGTTAATTTATTGATTTATATATAATTAAATTAATTATTAAAAATTTAAATACATTATATATTAATTAATTTTAATTTAAAAATAATAAATAATATATTATAGCTTGTAAGTTATAATATATTTATAATTTAATTTAGTATTAAATTAAGTTATTTTTTTAGTAATAATATTTTTATTAATTATTAATTATATTTTATATTAATTTAAATTAAATTAATAATATAAACTATCATTTAGTATTTAACTTACTTCAAGAGTTTGCAAATAATAATAATAGTAATGCACAATATAATTTAGCTAAATGCTATCAAAAAGGATGGAATGTTAATATAAGTTTAAAAGATTCATTTTATTGGTATCAAAAATCAGCAGAAAATGGTAATTTAATTGCTCAAAATAGTTTAGCTGAATGTTATCAAAATGGATATGGAATTAAAAAGAATTATAAAAAAGCATTTTTTTGGTATAATAAATCAGCTAATAGTGGTAATAAAAATGCACAATTTAGTTTAGCTAAATTATATCAGCATAAATTAAATTTTAAAAAAGCATTTTATTGGTATCAACAATCATCTAATCAAAAAAATAGTATTGCACAATATAATTTAGCCGAATGTTATAAAAATGGATGGGGTATTAAAAAGAATTTAGAAAAAGCATATTATTGGTATCAAAAATCAGCAGAAAATAATAATATAGAAGCATTTAATTGGATACAAATATCTGCAGAAAGTGATAATGAAATTGCACAATATAACTTAGCTGAATGTTATCAAAATGGATGGGTAATTGAAAAGAAATTAAAAAAAGCATTTTATTGGTATCAAAAATCAGCAGAAAATGGTAATATAAAAGCATTTGATCAGTTATATAATTCAGCAATTGATGATAATGAAATTACACAATATAAATTGGCTGAATGTTATCAAAATGGATTAGGAACTGAAAAGGATTTAGAAAAAGCATTTTTTTGGTATAAAACATCAGCTAAAAATGGAAATAAAAATGCACAATATAGTTTAGCTGAATGTTATCAAAATGGATGGGGAGTTGAAGTAAATTTAAAAGATGCATTTTATTGGTATCAAAAATTAGCTGAACAAAATAATAGTAATGCACAATATAATTTGGGTAATTTTTATTATTATGGAAATGGTATTAAACAAGATATTAATAAAGCATTTGAATGGTATGATACATCTGCAAAACATGAAAATAGTAATGCACAAAATATGTTAGGATTTTTTTATGAAAAAGGTATAAATATAGAAAAAGATTTAGAAAATGCATTTTTTTGGTATAATAAAGCAGCAAATAATGGAAATAAAGTTGCTCAATATAATTTAGGTAATTCTTATTATTATGGAAAAGATATTAAAAAAGATATCAATAAAGCATTTGAATGGTATGAAAAATCAGCTAATTAAGGATATAGTTATGCACAAAATGATTTAGGATATTTTTATGAAAAAGGTATAAATGTAGATAAAAATTTAGAAAATGCATTTTATTGGTATCAAAAATCAGCTAAAAATGAAAATAAAATTGCACAATGTAATTTAGCTATTTGTTATCATTATGGATTAGGAATTAAAAAAAATATTGTTGAATCATTTAAATGGTATGAAAAATCAGCAGAAAATGAAAATGAATTTGCACAATACAATTTAGGTTTTTTTTATGAAAAAGGTATAGGAATTATAAAAGATCTTAAAAAAGCATTTTATTGGTATCAAAAATCAGCAGAAAATGAAAATGAAATTGCACAATGCAAATTGGGTTTATTTTATGAAGAAGGAATGGGAATTAAAAAAGATTTAGAAAAAGCATTTTATTGGTATCAAAAATCTGCAAATAATGGAAATACAGATGCACAATATAATTTAGTTAAATGTTATGAATATGGAATAGGTGTAAAAGAAGATTTGGAAAAAGCATTCGAATGGCATCAAAAATTAATTAAAAATAGAAATGATCCTGAAAAAGCTGTTGGAAAATATGTAGATTATCAGAATAAGAGCAATAATGATACAATTGAATTTATTAATAATTCTTTGGAAAATAAAGTTAAATTTATATCTTTTAACGAGTTAATTGATTCAGAACCACTTGATGAAGGGGGTTTTGGAAGTATAATAAAAGCAACTTGGTTAAAAACAAATGATTATATTGTTTACAAAAAATTAACCAACACAGTAGTATTAAAATGTAATAAATTAAATGCATTTATTTATGAATTAAAAGTACATTTGCGTCTTAATTATAGTGATCGTATTATACGTTTCTTAGGTATTAGTCAAGGTAATTAATATAATTAATTAATTTTATTTTTTTATTTAAAAATAACAAAACTTATTTTAAAAAAATTTATCAGAACAAATTACAAAAGAATTTTTACTTGTAATGGAATATGCAAATGGTGGTAATCTTCAAAATTACCTTAATCATAATTTTAAAGATTTAACATGGAACGATAAGAAGAAATTGGCATTTCAAATCGCAGATGGATTAAATTATTTACATAATGAGGATGTCTTACATAGGGATCTTGTAAATATTGATATTATTATTTTATGTATAGACATTTAAGATTTATTATTAATCTGTATTTTATTTAGCATTCTAAAAATATAGTTATTCATGAAAATAATGCCAAAATCACAGATTTTGGTATTTCGAAAGTTGAAAATCATACCACTATATTTATTGGAACTTTTTGTAAAGTTGCCTATATGGAACCACAAATACTTGCAAATCCAAAATTTCAATATATTAAAGCTTCAGATATTTATAGTTATGGTGTATTAATGTGGGAAATCTCTAGTGGATATCCTCCATTTAGAGACCATAATGGTGACTTTTTAATAGCTAATGCTATTATTAATAAAATTCGCGAGGATGCTGTACCCGATACTCCTGAAGATTATGAAAAACTTTACAAAAAATGCTGGATCCAAGAGCCCAGGCAAAGACCAACTATTTTAGAAATAGTGGAAGTATTTTCAAAGATGGGCTTTAAAATGAGCATTAAAGACGAATCAGCCGAACGTACGTATTTGTATAAAGTAATTAATATTTTTCAGATTTTATATTGTTTATTTAACGGATATATATATATAGAAATCGTGGCGAAAAATGATACTGATTCCGAATCACAAGTTAACAATGAATTATCTGAATGCATTCAAATTGATTCTTTTGCAGATTTATCTGGTACGTTTTTCTAATTTATTGATTTTGAAAATTACATGAAATTAATTTAAATTATTTATAATTTTAGTAACAGACTATTAAAATGTGAACAATTTGAATAGTATGAAAGAAAATTTAAAAAGACGATTTTGAAATTCTTATTAATTAATATTGTGAAAGAAAAAGATTTAAGGAATTTAAATTTGAAAGAAGTATTTATATTTATTTTCTTTATTATTGATATATTGAGAAAAATGAAAAAGTATCTTGGACAAGATTTTAATCCAGTCCTTCAAATAACTCAGAAACCAATGTTGGTCAAAAGTAATTATGCATGATAAATGTGTTTACGATGCGGTGATGAGACGATATTTATCCTTAGAAATGATTACAATGACATAAAAAAATTTCTGTCTCACCTTGAATAAGATTGTGAAAAGTCGCTTCTTATGACAGAAGTGTCCATTTCTATTTTTTTTTTTATTTAAATATAAAGACTATTATGTTACAACATATATATTATATAAATTTTTACCAAGTCATAACGTTATAATTATAAATACTTATGGTACCGGTCATGCATGACCGGCCATGACCGTAACTCGGTCAAAGGCTTCTGACAAACAGATTGCTTTTAATTAGATAACTCATGTATATTCTATTTTCAAAGTTGCACAGTATTTCAAATTGATCGTTAAAACTAAATGCGAGTGTTACAAGAATTTATTATTGTGGATTATATCTCAATCTTTTTATCAATGGCAATATATTTTTTACTTATTATGATGACATGTATTACGCCCACTATATATAATATAGTTATTATCCGGAAAACACGATAGTCGTTCATATAATTCGTCCAGATTTATCAATTCCTTCTGAAGGCGGTATACTATGGATAGATAAACACATGTCACTTCGCACGATTTTCCCTGATGAGGATGTTGTCTAGTTGATAATACATTGTATATACCAGATATTAACTTTCTTCTTTTATACGTTAACGGTAAATTTGTGAGTCCTATTAAAATTTTTCCTATAAGAAGGAATTTTTGTTAGTAACTTATACGGAAGCCACGGACCTTAGTAATCCATTTACTTACAATGAACGAGCAATGGTTGTTGATTTAGATGGATACGTTGATGAATTAGTGATAATTACTATTTATTTTCTTTTTTCATAGTAAATGATATTTGAATCAGCATATGTTAATGTTAGCTGAGCTATTATTTTGATAATTTCAAACCTGAAAACCTAAAACAAACTCAAATGATTATATTTGTCAACAATACATAATGTAATTAATCTCTTAAATAAAATTTAATTAGTAAATTAAATAAATTAATTGATTTACTTATAATTTCTATGCTTTTTTTTTTCTACGATTTTCAAATTCTATTAGCCCGATTTTTACAGCCGTTTCAATGATACGCGAATATTTAAGCAAATTCCACGGATTCTGAAACTATATTCCAAAATAGTTTTATTCCGAGAGAAGGAATCTTTGTCATGTTTTTGGAATATTGCGAAGCTATTAAACAAAATTCTTATATCCTTTATCTATCTTCAATTGAAGGATTTATGTTACTGATATTGAATGCGATATTGCTTACGTTGAATTTGGGCAACTTGTATATTAACGAGAAGATTCAAAACAAATAATTGGAAACTTATTCGTGTAATGTTAATTTTATGTCATCAGGAATTGTATATAATTTAAACCATTAGAGATTAGATTAATGTTCAACCGATTACAAAAATGAAAATTAAAAGTTATAACATGGTTTGGTTATCTCTTATTTAGAATTGGATTTACTGATTATCTAATTGTGATAGATAGTTAAAAATAATGAATTTTATCCTTGGGACCTTTCAACTCCTACTAAAGTAGCTAACTATAAATTTTAAAACTTTTAGTTATTATTACTTAGGTCCTCAATATATAAAAATATCTTTTGTAGTTTCATTAATAAGAACTAACTGGACGTCAAAATCAGTTCATTGTTTTCAAATGGGTTTGATTTATTAAGTTTTGATTTTCTCAGTGCATACATAATTGTCCTTTTTTTATCGACATGAATTAAAATTAATATCAGTTACTTGATTAGTACGGAGTGTAACGAAGGACTATATATGGGGCCTTTGCAATAGAAAGGGGGAAACTGCCGGAAAAATCAAAAATGAGTTAATGCACAATTTGAACATATTTCGGCCCGAAAATCATATTTGTATATAAAAGTAAATTTGATTTTTCCGGCAGTTTCCCGCCTTCTATTGCAAAGGCTCCATATTATCTAAACTGATACGTGATTCGTTACGTTATTAGCAATATTAAAAATTTCAAAAAAAATGATTTTGAAAAAATTTCTCTTATTTGATATATATGGATTACATTAGTAGAATGCATATCTTGATGTTTCTGGATATTCTATTCATAATGTATTTATAGGAATAACTTGATAATATGATTTTTTTGGATTTGCAGCATATCGTTTCGGTTTTCAATGTTTTATACGGATCCCAAATTACGTACAGCAAATTATTAATGTCCACCGAGACTTGAAAGTAACTATAGACAGTTTACGAGAGACAGAGAAAATTTTATTGCGAGGGTTTAAGTCAATAGACAAAATAGAGATAAAGTTTATGAATATTGTTAGTAAATGACAAAAGGAGACCTATGTTTAAAATAGAATTTTAATATAGTTTAAGCTTTTTTGACATTTATTATTATTAATAAAGAAATATAATTAGCATTTAATTAGACGTATAGATTATTTTGGCATATATTATTTTCGACCAAAAATGTCCACTGGCCAAATTTGTTTCGTTATGACACTTGGCCAATATTACCATCTCTTATGAACAATGTCCTTTATTATTTTCGAGTATATAATAGTGGTACTTTTCTTTTCTTTTAATTAGCGTTCGATATTCCTAAATAATAAAAACATAGCATTTAATATTATTTCACCTTTCCCTTTACATTTTATTGTAACAATTCCGAAATATAATTAATAAACGTACCTGATTGAGAGCGCCGACGTTGATGCAATACGTTATCTAGATTAGAAACTTCGTTATTATTAATAAAATAATTAATACAAAATTTTCTGCTTACCTTATTATTGTAGACACTAAAGAACTGCGAATAGCACTATTATAGTTTCACGTCAAAGAAATAAACATAAGTGCAGTCATAATGACATTACTTACAGGAATTTTATTCGTTCGGTGAGTTATTATTAACTGAAACAGAATCTGACAATTGTTTTACTTTCTTAATCACAACCAGCGAGTCATGTAGAAATATAATTTATATAATCTGTTGTTTCATTGTTTTTAAAGTCGATAACTCACGAAATGTGCGAATATGTAGAAAATCAATACCATATTAACAACCAATTTGTCAAGGACCCATTTTTTATAAATAAAGTTATTCTTTATTTTATCAAAATAAAAATAAACTCATCATTGACTAACAAAAAGGCAAAATAAATCGGAAGTTTTCATAATCAGTTTTATTACTAAAATAAATTTATAGGATTAATTGTTTTCTTCAAATGTTGTTATTTTATGAGATTTCTTTGTTTTAAAATGTACTACTACTAAACGACATGAACAATCTAATAATAAAATGTTCTAGATATGATATTGTTTGAAATATCTATAAGATAAAGACTCAAAAATTAGTTATTGATTTAAACATATAATTTGGATCGAATCTTTCAAGTCAATATTTTTTAATATATAAAATGAGGAAAAGAACATTTTTAAAAAAAAGACAGTCTTGTTTAAAATCAACATTTAATATTGAAACCATATATTAAACATTACGCAATAGTGTATTAAAGCAGATAAATGTTATGCTATTAATTTACAAAATTAGACTGTTTAATGAAGTATTGTTTTTTCAAAGATTCTGGATTGATGTCAGTTAAGGAATTGGGTAAATTTGGCAAACTATTTATTTGTGTATTCAAACACCAGAGGGATTTTAAAGAGTTGGGTAAAATTGGTAAGCTGGTTATTTGAGTATTATAGCAATAGAGTTCCGTTAAGGAGTTGGGTAAAGTTGGCAAGATGGTTATTTGAGTATTAGAGCAATCGAGTACCGTTAAGGAGTTGGTTAATGTTGGTAAGCTGGTTATTTGAGTACTATAGCAATAGAGTATTTTTAAGGAGTTTGGTAAAGTCGGTAAGATGATTATTGGAGTATCATTACAATAGAGTATTGCTAAGGAGTGGGGTAAAGTTGGTAAGTTGGTTATTGGAGTATCATTACAATAGAGTATTGCTAAGGAGTGGGGCAAAGTTGGTAAGTTGGTTATCCGAGTGTTAGTACAATAGAGTTCCGTTAAGGAGTTGGGTAATGTTGGTAAGATGGTTATCTGAGTATCAAAACACCAGAGTTTTTTTAAAGAGTTGGGTAAAGCTGGTAGGCTGGTTATTGAAGTAATACTACAGTCAAGTACTTGTAATTTTCGATATCTTTGTAATTCTCCTAAGGAGTATAATAAATCCTTATTAAGTTCTGTGATCCTTAAACTATCAATATTATCATCGTAAATAATAGAATAATTTGACACCAATTCTATTTCATTCATCTGAAATGAATTATTAAGTTGTGCTGATAATTGAAGGTTATCATCGTTAATAATGACGGTTGTTTCATTCGATTCTAAATCCATTTGATTAAAATTTCGAATAATTTGGGATAATTCTCCATGCAATGAATTATTATTAATACTTGAATTAGTAAGTTGTTCTGACAATTGAAGGCTTGATTCGGCATTATTTATTTGATAATTTTCTGTTATATTTGTTTTTGCAATAATTGCATCTAATTCATCAACTACTTTGTTCATAGCCGGACGATTGTCTGGTTCGCTATCCCAGCACTCTAAAATCATATAAACAATTTAATGATCGAAAACATTCTATTTAAAATTAATTTATAATAATATAATTACCTGTATAAATTTTTATATAATCTTTAGGCGTATCAGGAATGTTAGTTTCTCTGAGTCCTTGTAAAATTTCTATAGCTAAACCAACGTCATATCCTTCACCTTCAACATAAAAAGGAGGTCTGCCACTTGATATTTCCCACAGCAACACGCCAATACTGTAAACATCACTTTTTTCATTTAGTGTGTATGGTTGTGATGTATTGTCATATTTTCTCCATTTATCAAATCTTTTCGGATCAATGTAAGGAATTACACCAAATACTTTGGACTGACTAGTTATTTCTTCGATTCTTTTTGATAAACCAAAGTCTGCAAGTTTAATAACACCTTGATGAATTAATATATTTCCAGAGTGCTATTATATGTATATAATAAAATTAAATATTAATTTTTAAAAGTAAATATTTATAATAAATATAATAATATATATCTCATGAAAGTTACCAAATCGCGATGTACAATTCCTTCATCATGTAAACACGATACAGCAGAAGCTAATTGGAATGCCAAGTTGTATTTATCATTCCAAGCAAGCCTATCAAAATTATTCTTCAAATAGTTTCTAAGTGCACCTCCATCAGCGTATTCCAGAACTAACCAATATTTTTTCAATTGATCATTTTGGTTATCTATTATTTTTAATAATATATGCATTAGTTAAGAAATTTAATGAATATAAATCTGTAATTAACTTAACTTAATTATTTAAAATTTTATACCTTGATTAGGTGTTGTAATCCCAAAAAGACGGATTATATTGCAATGAAAATCAACTTCCCGTTGATGTTCAAGCTGAATTATTGATAAAATAAATTTTAGTTTGATATATAAATGATTTATTTATACTAAATAGACAGAAATACAATACTGCATTTAGTAGTTACCTCACGAACAAGTTCTTTAATAGTGGCATTGCTAAAGTAATGAAATGATTTTAAAGCAAAGCGTTGCTTTGAACTTTTCCAATTTGCACTATAGACTTTTCCAAAACCGCCTATACCAATCTCTTGAAAATTGCTAAAATGTTTATATTCGTAGTATTTGATATCTTTTTTTGAAATATATTCTTCAATCAACTCGTTTGCATTATTGGCAGTTTGCATTTTAATCTTTATTTAATTTGATATTTAGCAATAAAAAAATTCTTGAAAAAAAAAATGCATTCGGTAGATCATGAAATTACGTTATTTATCAAATTTCTAAGCCACCGGTAATTATAAAATAATAAATGATCATCGAGTTAATTGTGTAACTCCAAAGTTAAATTAATAAATGAATAATATTAAAAAATGAATAAAACGATGAATTTTGGGTATTTTTAATTATATCTAATATCATTTTCAAAAAAAACCTTTCATAATCATCCTGCAGACATTATAAAGACATTTATTTTCATAAATTTAAGAATTGTAAAAATAAAAATATAATTGAGAAAGTTGACCATATTTATGTTTTCTTGATCATTAGTACGATGATACATGTGCAATAATTATAAAAGTGAAGGTTGGACTATCATGGTAAATTGTCCCATAGTGATGTCGATTCTATTTTGATGAGGTAACTTCAGGGACGATGATTTCTGTGGTGACAAAATACTAATTTCGTCTGCTGTTAAGATAAATTCTGCAATATGCTGTTATTAAAAAAGTACTGGTTTCTGCGGTATTTCTGTGGTAATTTTTGTTAGATTCTGTATGCATAACTTTTCTGTTAAGCATATTGTAAAAGTAATAAAAAATCTTTGCCAAAATCAGGCTTTTATTTTAGTGTGAATGCTGTGTTAACTGCTCATCGAATAAATGAAACTGGTTTAATACATTTCATTTGCATAAACTTCGAAATTTTAATCATGAATTTTTTAATGCAATTAATTTTATTTGGATTTTTATCAAATACATGATAACGATAGTTTTGCTAATAGATGACAAATCCCTTTCTCTGAATTTTTTACCTTATTCCATGAAAACATTATTTTTACTTCGCAGTAATAGATAAATTGATATCGAAAATACGCTTCCTTCAGTACCTGAAAATTTAGTTGAGTCGTATTATAGTAATAGTATAATTAAATACTGATTATTCAGTCATTGTAAATACTAATATATAACACATTTTATTTTGTATATTTTATGGTGATGGTGTTCATGTTGCTGATGCTGCTATCTTTTTGCTATTACTGCAAATTTTTGCCGTGAAGATGTGCTCCTATTTATTCATTCTTTAATTGTGTGTTTAACATATAAAAATCTTTCTTATGGCGGATGATAATAGGTAGTTACATTACATCAACACCAACAATAATAATGTACCTAATTATGAGTTATTTAATTTAAATATTAGGTTCTTCAACCGTAAGGTTTATATTCTTTAAATTCTATTTTTTTGAAAAAAAAAATGTAGACAATAGAAATTCAATAAAAAAACTTTTTGGATATTTGGACGTTCATTCTTTTATTATAATTCTAACTTATAAAGTATGAATATGTGCCCTAAATGAAATACCAGTTTAATTTAACATTTTCATTATTTTTTTTTTTAAAGTTCTAGACGATTTATAATATATTATTAATACATAAAGTGTTTAAAATTTGTATTCATATTACCTACTATGGTTAGCTAGCAATTTAGATTATTTTCATTATAATCGTTATTTTTGTTAAAATAAAAGCTTTTTTTTATAAGCATTTGTGCGATTGTCAATCAAAAATTATAATGTTGAAATCATCTCTATTTTTATACAAAAATTAAAATATTATATGTGGCTGTGATTTATGTGATTCTTGTTACCAGCAAAGTAAAATTAGTCACTTGTATTTTTTTAATATATTATTAAGAAACCGTATTATTTATTAGAATATGCATTAAATATTTTCATCAATTCTCATAGAGATGAGATTTGGCAAAATTGAAATTGATTTTCAGAAAACATTGAGGGAAAGATTGTGAGCTTTTCAGAATTCAAATTTGAAAAAAAAAGATTGATACATGAATCGGCACATTGGGCTTTGCTAAGAAATAATTAATTTGATCACATCATGATCCATCTCTAATTATAAATATTTCCTTTTTATCGAATTCATACATAATATTGAATTAATTTATAAAGCACAACTACTATCTAGCACTAGTGTAAATCAATACCATTTACGTGATCCAGGTAAAGATTTTGATAAAATTAATTCTTATCGGCAAGTTGTTTTTTAACAAAAAAAAAAAAAAATTAATGAATCTCATAGCTTTCAATGTAAACAATAAATAAAATTATCATTTTATTTAATTAAAGTATTTACGATTATTATCTTTTTGATTTAAAATTGAATTCCTTCTAAAAAATGCATCAGAAATTAAATTTCCAAATCCAACACAACAAAACTATATACAACCCCTTTCCTTCGACGATTTCTTTCTATACTGGTTATCATCAGATAAGGTAATATAGCAAAGAGATCATATCAATGAAAATTATACAAAACAAGATTTTATCGTAAAACCAAATAAACATTTTCATTGTGTTATCAGCAATTTCATATAACATGTCAGTATTGCATGATATGATATCCATCCAAGTGAAACGCGTTAATATACATAACCAAGTGAAATGATGCTGTATACCCTAAAATCATATAATAAATTATTTCTCTTATTACTAAACATAAAAATAATAAAAAAAAACAAATGTTTAAAATAATTTAATTATTACTTTAAATTAATTCTTAAACAAGTAGTATCCAAAGAAAAGCACATGTATATTTTGGTTGAAGAATGATAACTTGTATTATTTTCCCACAAATATTTTAAATTTCCAAGCAAGGTCATAACAAAATTTATTCTGTATTTTCATCTTGATTTACATTCCATTGAGAATGATTAAAATAAATACTTACAGGCCTAGGGAATCCAATAGGTAGGTATATAAAACGTAGGTATTGATTCATCAAAATCAGAATCTTTTTCACACAACTCAATTCATTCTTTTTTTAAAAAAAAAACAAAAAAAATGAATAAGTTATGTTAAATTGCAAAGAATTATTCTTTTTGGGGTCGGATAGCTGAAAACACAATACTTCTCTACCTTACTGAATTTCCATAAGGATGAGTTGCATTAATATTACAACAATGGTATAATGTCCTTTTATGATGAACAAAACCCACGAGTATTATTTGTTATCTCATAATTTTGTAATAAATAAGTATTCCACCGTTCCATGAAGCATCATTCAATTATAACCATCAATTTTTGGTTATTTACGATGAATGATATAATATTTCAACAAAATCTGTATTCTAAATTTTTTTAAACAAAAAGATAAGATAAAATTAACGAATAATTAATTAAAGAAAGAGGTATATATTTGGTTGGTAAGTTGCTTTTCTTACCTCTTCAATACTAATAATACTAACTCCAATTCCTTCCACAGACTTGTATCCAATGAGACTCATGGTAATTTAATTATTCCAGAATTTAATATAAGAATACCTAATTAAAATATCACCTGTTATGCAAATCTCCCAAACAAATGATGCGAAGCTTTTTATCGATGAACTATTATCCAGAAATACTCCCAAATAAAATAAATTTCAACAAAAAAAAATCGGTCAATAAAAATTAATAATAATATATATAAACTAAACCAAAAAGCAGCAATGCATGACCAGCCTCATGTAAGTTTCCACAAACCAAAGTGCAATCAGGTAATGTATAAAATGTGAAATTAGTAAATTCACTCTTGGAATCTTTTTTTTTACATTATTAAATGTGATATGGATATCATAATAATAATTTAAAAATTTGCAAATACTACTTACTAAAAAGTACTTACAACTGGTACAAAAACGTGCTGATCAAATATTGCTTTCAAATTGATGAGCTTCTTCAAAGTTTCTTTTAACAAATATCGTTTGTTCATGATTTTCATTATCCCGGATACCAAATCTAACGATTTCCATTATCAATTGCCACCCTGTCATGATCATAACATCAACTCCTAAAATTATAGCTAATAATCCAACTTTAATTCCCAAATCAAACCATATTCTCCAAATTTGGTCGTATGTTTTGAAAGATTTTCAAAAAAGGATTAAATCTACTTGTTTTTATAAAGAGATAAAATTAACTATAATACATGAAATTAAATGCTGGGCTAAATATTTATAATTGGTAAGTGTGATGCTCAAAGGTGACTCTATGCTAAAAAAAAAAAATTATAATTGAAGCTTTAGCAAAAGAAATGGAAAATGTTGGGCAAAATGAATCCAATATTAATGATGATGAGAATAATGAAAATGATGATGTAGGAGAAATTTTTAAAAAAGTAAAAGTTGATGATGGGTTATTATGTAGTAATCCAACAGAAGTTTCTTATTATTCAAGTGATTTATTTGAAATAATTTGTTTTCAGTGTGGAAAAGTACCAGAAGATGAAAGTAATGAATCTGATAGAGTTAATGTAAATGAAGGATATTATTATTATTATTATTGTAGTGAATGTTATATAACAGTTTCAAACAAAAAAAAACGTAGTAAAGATACCAAATTTCGAGTAGCAAAAAGATCACGAAAATAATGTTAAATTTTATTAATTTTATTAATAAAGTATGGTATATGCCGTTAAATAATTTTCATTATATAAAATCACGTGATAAAAAATTTTATTATAAAAAAAAAAACTATGAATTTTTGTAAAACAGACCCGGCCGGGTCACGAGAATCTAATTTTTTTTTTTGTCCGGCCTAATAAACAATTTTTATTGTCGATACTTACATTATTTTAATAGACTATATGATATCGAAAAATCAATTGTAATGAAAAAATATATTTCAAACATTCTATTACAAATCAAATAAAGGTAATATGAAATCTGGTTAGAGAATTATTTTTATCTTTCTTGTATAAACTGATGAAAGTGAACAAATACTTACCAAAAACAAAACCTATTTATCAACGAAGAAGGCTGGTTGGAAGTCTTATTTTATTGGAATCAATGACTTATATATTATATTTTATCACATGATATTATAACAACCAGAAATATTATCGAGTTGTTTTTTTTCAGCAAATTTTTTGTAATAATTTTCATTTCATAAAAATAATAATTCTTTATATTGTGAAAATTTACTTTAAATCCAAAATCCTAGTCAAATCGGCAGCAAAAAATTCTATTTTGAAACGATTAATAAGCTGCTAAAAACGATTTTTGATTCTAGTTTAAAAATCAAAAATCGGCAAAATCGGTGTTAATTTTTTCAATTTTTTAAGTATAGAGCAGTTTTAAAACTTTATAAACAACATTTAAGCAAAGTTTGTATTATAACCTTTATTTATTAGAAAATAAAAGCTAATGATATTAAGAAAAAAAAAATAATCAACCACATGATATACTTGTTTTCCTTACCCATAAATCTTTTGGGTTTTATTTTTATTTTATTTTGATTATTCGATACTATTTTTTTCAATATTAAGATTACACAAGCAACAATTATTAGAATAATTCACTTAAAATAAATTAGCTTCATTTTGCTCATTTAAGAATTCGATCCACAAAAATGAATCCTTCATCAACTATTTCATTCAAAATATAACGAAATAATTTTTACCAGTGTTTCGACATCATCATTTGGTTAAAGTTTCAAGATTTTATTATTGCCCAAATTGTTTAGATTTTGTGTAACTGATTTTTGCCGATTAATTGGAAAATCGAATTAAAAGTCTTTATCATTGCCGAGTTTGAAATCTAAAATCGTCATTACAATAGTCTTTCGATTTTGGATAGAATACAAATTGTCATCAGTTTACTTATACGAGACTTGTAATGTCAGAAATAAATTAACATTACCTTAAGTAAGACGGTAAAAATTGATATCCATTTTATTTGATGATCACCGCTTACGTAAATATTTAATCAAAATTAGATAATTTTACTTGATCGACACTAGAAATTCTAAAAAGCCACGAAGAAGAAATAATTGTTGACCATCCTATCTCCTTTTAATGTTATTCTTTATTTAGTAACATGTTCATTTGGCCGATGTCGTACCTTATCATATGTAATATTTCTACTCAATATGACTTAAGGTGTCCGGGTCTCCCGCTAATAATTGAGAATTGATTCGATGCGAGGCGTGATTGGTCTCTTTCGTTACAGTTGTGCTCCGTACTTAAAACCGGTTTCCACCATTAGTTCACGTGCCAAACCATTCATAAATCTTCTTTTTAATGCTTTGCTCATGATAGGAGTGAAGTTTCAAAGTGGAAATTGGTTCGCAAGCTCTTTTTTGAAATGCACAGCCAAGACCAAAAAAATATATATATTTATACCCTTATTTACGTAATGTCGACAGTTCTTATCGAATACTTGCGTAAATATTTTACAAATGGAGAAACCCCTAATGTCGTACAGACCAAGAACAGTACGTTTATTTATTGTACACATGTTTTCATTCACGTGTTTGAAAGATGTTAATCTTTAGCTATTTTCGAATTTCAAATGTCGCACTTTCAAATAAACGTTAAATATACTCACGATAAGCATCATAAATATGAATTACGATTTTAAAAGTTCTACTTCTTATGTTCTACCCTCCTCTAAAGCGGAAATGGACACAGGACACGGTAGATATTTGTTGTATACAAAAACAAGGGAAAGAAAATATTTTAAAACTTCTTTATTTTAGATTTGGGAGTGCATTCAACTAATGGCGGCGAGGAACGTGTTAACCCGAACTCTTTACCAAGATTTTATTTTACCGTACAGGTATGGTTCGAAAGTTTTTTTTTTAAAGAGGATATGTATTTAAAATTTGCCTTTTGATGTTCTATTACAGGAAAATTCGCGTGTTCTTCCGAAAGAAAACCAACGGCGAGCCAGTAAAAATGAATATACGTATAAAAGGACTGACTCATTTGTCAATTACAACAGTCTGGGACGCGTTATGCTTCCTGTACACTATGAGTTTTCATCAAATAAAGATCAAGAAGAAGATCAAGAAGAAGGAAAAGAGGAAGATCAAGAAGAAGAGAAAAAGAAAGAGAAAAAAGGACAAGAGGATATCGCTACGTCAGCATCGTCAGCACCTATATCAGTTGGCAACATGGATAAAAATTCTACATCCACTCAGCACTACAAGCCGTCCAAGGAAAGTGAACATTTCTTGGATTATTCATCGAAAGATCATAAAAGTCTCTTATGGGGCATCGGTAATAGCTCCAGACAAAGAAAACAGAAAGGCCTTGGTCAGAGTTCGACAGATCAACGATCTCCAACTCTTCCCACGAAATCAAAATGGGCAAATAATTCCGAATATAGAGGAATAGGACCCATGGACACACTTGTCCTGCCAGTGATCAAATATTCCGATCAAAACGCGAACGATAGACGTAAGAACAAAAAAAAAGATACCACCTTGTCTAAATTGCAAGTCTTGCCTGATTATCTTCAAGACCAATTAAAAAATAATAATCGTTTAGGATATCACCAAATCACAAATAAAGATTCATTGGACTTTGTAGATGCAGAATTTATTGAATTTCTAGCTGAAGTATTCAACATCACTGGTGTTCAACCAGTATTCATAGATCATTCTGGCAACGTCATTTTGATTTTAGACAAGAATGGTTGTATGTATCAATGGGATGATATGTCGACTAACCTGAGGTACCTTGGGAACAGTCTGACGGAAGGCCTCACTAATTATTTCATATACCCAGATAATGTATGTGAAGTCATGGAAAACACTGGTGAGAGAATCCCAGTTAAAGAATTCGAGCATTATATGAATGAAAAGTTTAAAAGTTTTTCGGATGACAAGCAGGTGTTTGTGTATGAAGAATTTGAAAAAGATGCGAATAAGTATAGTGAGAGGCGAGCGAAAAATATTGAAAAGGCGAATGCGAAGAGGAGGGCTAAACAGAACAAATAGTGTAGTTTTTTTACGCGTTATTAAGAAGTTAGATAATTTATTCCCCTTGCATAATTCTTATACTTATGTTGTATAATTTAATATTTAGCAAATAATACTCATCGATACATGCTTAATAGCTTTATTCATAAATAAAGTATTGCCAAAAGCAACAATAATAAAAATAAATTTGCGAAATAATCGCTGGTAAAAGCTTTGCGAAATTCACAAGTTAGCGTTAGCGAAAAATGCTAGACTTTCTTCTAGCTACGTGATTCTCACGTTCATTACTGCTAACATAATATAATACATAATAAATCTGATAATTCTTACTGCTTAATATATGATAAGTGATCTTCGCAATAAAAGTTACGATTAACAAGTATGCCACTTCTGAAATTGGATGTAATTCTTCAGATTTGATGGAACTCAGAGCCAAAAGGCGTCAACAGCAAATAAAACTTGCACATGAACAAAATTTAACACAGGAAAATATTGAAGATAGTGAGCGTGAGCAAAGAGCAAATATGTTAATCAAAGATTTATTTGGAAAGTAATTTAAATTATAATTAAAAAAATGTAATTGTAATATACAGCAAAAATTATCAAATTTTTTAAACTACATTCGCCGCAATAAAAAAGATCGTTATTAATTTGTGTAACGTAAAAATCTATTCATGGTAAATTAATCAATAAGCTGATATAGTTTTGATTAATTAGTACCCTCCTGTGTAGTTTTTATTTAATTAATAACGTGAATTTTTTAATCATTATAAATAAAATGATTCATATAATAATTTATTATAAAATAATTCAAAGTTTAGTAATAACTTCATGTTTAGCAATTTGAAATTCTAAATACATCACATTTAAATGTGTAGCAAACTATGTCAAATTTTATTGCAAAGAACTTAAATTTTATTAATTTTTATATAGTAATTCACTAACTGTACAAATATTTATCCATTAATATTAATGAATGATACATGATTATTCCAAGCCACTTTTTAAGATTTGATATTCCATAGAATAAACTTATTCGTTTAATCAATTTCGTGTTCTTTTAGAGCAAATCTTGTTCATAAGATTGAAGTTCATAAATCTTGAAGCTAATTCATACTCCTAAATATGATCATCTCAGTACAATTAAAATACTTTTAGACTTTTTGTTGCAATTGTTTATATCTCACATACGAATTTCATCTTTGGCGTCGGAACTTATTTTCAGGCCAGTGGAACGTACATCTGTTTACGTTTCATAGGATTTTTACAAGCTTTTAGCTAATGAATATTTATTAATAATATTTGATTTTATAATCATTATCTAATATAATTTAGGTTTGTTAGACTTTTATCTCATCCTCATATAGATATATTTAATTTTTGATAAACATGAATTATATTAAATCGTAGATTGCAAATATATAATAATTTAATATTAACATAAAATTTATAAAGTGTAAGATAAATCAATTCGGATTTTGTTCTCTTAAAATTCAGAAATAAGATGTTTAGAAATTCAAAATTATATCTGCGTGTAACTTTTTACTTTGTTCTAAAGAATATGTATATGATCATTTTACTCGACTATTTGTAAATGCTTCAATGAAAAGATTTAATATTCATTTAGCAACAATAGTGTACATTTGACATATTACTGAGAAATATTTCATTCACATCACGTTAATTAATTAAAATAAACGAGTCTAAAAAACAGAATCATTAAATAAATTTGTTGATAATGGTTTCATATAAAAATATTTGATGAGTGAGACGTCAGTTTGTCACGTGAACAGATTTTATAGTTTGTTTTGTGTAATGAATAGATTATAAATAAGCTCAGTGCGTTCAATACATTTTAATTGGTAAATAATCGAAATCTTTAAAAGTTTACAACACGTCAAATTGCTAAACACCTTTATATTAGTAAAACGTCTGTTGGTCACGTATTGAAATTGAATGTGAAATGTGTAAAAGCTTCGTACTTTATTAGTTACAAACCATCAAACTATCAAATCTGTTCTCATGACCAACTGAAGCAAAATTCATTTTGCCCTGGGTCTTATGAAAACAGCAATAACCGTTTAAGGGATTTTTAGGCCGTTTCCAACCTATATTCCGGAAGAATAATCTGTTATTTATTTTGAGCTATCGAAATAATTCTGAGATCTACTGATTATAACATCGCTTAAACAATATTTTAACTATAAGGTTAATCGACACTTAGGTAGTAGCAACTGAGCTGCAGAGTGAAGCCACGTGTTTCTCAAAAGAAAACTGCATTAATACATTTACCAATAAACTTAATATTTAATATCAATTTAATTTTTTTGTATTAAGAATTGTATTATTGAACTTTATCGTTGATTTCATATTTTTAAACATGTGTATATAAAAAACGAGATACGCATTAACGAAATTACATGATTTACATTGCTTGCTTACTATATTCTGTTTGCGAAATTGATTGTTCATATAATAGCGAAGGTATTAGTTCTATATGTGTAAATATTGTTTGTTTTATTTCTTTATTTAAAGTTAATAAAATTTTTGTGTAGATACCATAACAAGTATTTTAAATTGAACACAGAATCCATTGTTTTTAGTAAAATAAAAAATTAATTATTTAACTTCTCTTTTATGAATATTTTATTTTTTTTTTGGGAAAAAAATTTCTAAAAAAAATATATATAAAAATGATCAGCAGTAATGCTGCCCAAACATTATAAAAATTGGCCAGTAATTTAGTCCAGTTGACATCTGAAGCAATGAAACCTGACACAACATATATATATAAAGAAGATTTTGAAATGAATTATGCGTAATAAAGTATTTACTATATATTTTTAAAGTAAATTAACTTTCTAATTTTAAAGAACTTTTGTTTTTTGTATGCGTTCATTATATTTGTCATATAATAAACTATTATTATTTTTTAAACATTGTAAATTTGATTTGAGTAAATAAATAAGAAATACAAAAAAAAAGAAAAGGCTATATGATTTAAATACAAAACACAAGATTTATAATGAGTTACAACTGTCTGAATTAATTGAAGCTAATAGAATTTATTCATATGAATGGATTTTTCTCAAAAATTTAAATATAATGTCATAACTTGATTGACAAGGTTAAAAAAATCTCAAACAACAAAGACCATTTCAGCAAATCTACCAAAAACTTACAAATTGAATACAAAATCAAATCAAGCATCAAGGTTAACTAGTCCTAATCATTCAGCTGAAAATTCTGGAGAAATTAATAATAATTATGACAATGATGTTGATAAAAATGATGATAATGATGAGAACAATGATGATGATGAAGTAGATGAAATTGAAGAAATTAATAAGTAGAATTATAAACTCATTGAAAGGACAGGCTAGTAGAAGAAAGATTTTTAATGGATCTGATATGAAGGTAAAATTTTTTAATATATATATTATGTTGTATATTATATTTATTAAAACATAATTATTTTTTTTAGAAATACATTCAGATTACTATTTAGATGAAATTGTCAGAGAAATGATTAGGAGGATTAGCAAAGATCATGTTAAATTTAAATTATAATTAATTAAATTATTTATAATCATGAAATGTTGTGTGAACTAACGTTACGCGAATATCATCACGAACGTTACGCGAACATCATCACGAAGTGTTACGCGAAATAAACCTTACAATTGATGAGCTCATTAGTTTGATATATAGTTTCCCATTTTGCTGTATTTACTCTCTCTTATAATTACTAATTTTAATTGAGATGAGATTTCCATGTTTTCATCTTCAGATTCTTCAATTTCAGATTCATCTTCAACATCCTATTCTATATCGCCTTCTATTTAAATACCCATAATTTTATCTTCCTCTTCATTATTCATCAGTATTTCTCATCTCCACTTTGAAAACATTTCATTACTCTTGTAACAGATGGAGCGCTAAATTTCAATAATTCAGATTTTTTTTAAAAAAATTCCTTCATAATACAAATATATTACACTCCACCTCAAATGTGCACTTATCTTGTTATTTTTCATGAGTCAAAGAACAACTTTTACTATGGTAACTCAACTGTGATTCCTATTTTTCTTCCATGTGTTTTTTTGTGATTTTCTGTGATTCCTTGAAAAAAAGTTGTGATTTCAAAGTTTTAAGTTGAATTTATATTGGTTTTTTTAATAAACCTTCTTGTAAATAACATATATTATAAAATAAAGAATATATTTATTTAAATATAAAAAAAAAAATTCGTATCTTATTTAAAAATTAAAGTTTTTATTATGTAAAGCTGAACGAACGTGATTAACTTAAAAAAATCGACATGATCGACATCAATAATTTCGAAAAAAACCACCTAAATTTTCGTTGTTATCTCTCGATTTTGCATAAATTCTCAATTTGATAAATATTTATCAACTTCTATAGCCTTGTTATAAATATTAATTATGATTTTTATTTAGACTAGACCGTTATCCAGTTCAAATCTTAATGATCAATGCGCGCAAATATATATTTGTTCAAATTAAATAGGCCGATTACGTATGTAATATCGTGCCATGGAATCGATATAAAAAGTAAACTAAATCAATTAATCGTTTCTCAAGATTCGATTCGTTTCAAAGGTTCGAAATTTCGTATTTCGAATACTCGATTCTAATCGAAGTGATCATAATTTAATCGGAAAATTACCAAAAATATTTATTTATAAAGAAGAAAATCTATTTGTCAAGGAAAAAACTTATATTATAATTTTATGAAATTAGATATTTTTCCGCTTTTTATTTTTTTTCTTTCGAGTTGGAAGGAACATAGTAAGGGGGTTTTTTTTATTTTTTTTATTTTTTTTTTAATTTTGTTATTTGTTTTTTGATTTTATTCACTATAAATTCATTCAATTTGGATTGAATCGTTTCGGAAGGCATGAGTGTTGTTTTATTTGGTTTTTTATTTTCATTTTTTTTTCTTTTAGAAATTAAATGAATGGTTGAAGAACTTTCTACTGACTGCTTTGGTAGATATTTTATTTTTTTTATGGTCGCAATAAAATAGATGTTTTTATTTTATTTTCGATTAATTCAATTTTGATAGAATCGATTCCGTACATTTGTAATCTAATTGCATAAAATAAATATTCCTTTTTTACGCTTTGAACTAATAAAAAATCATATGTTATGTTATACTATTACAGATAACGCTTTGATCACCTCTGCTCTTATAAATGAATGCCAATGCTAATTACTAAGAGATTCAAATTCAAATTTTGGGCTTAGTGGTTGTAAGAATTTTATACTTGTGGCAATTGAGGAAATGAACTACACAAATAATTGTTATGCTTTACGAAAATAGGGGATGTAACACAATAAGTCATAAAATAAATAGTTTCACAATAAAAAATTATTTAAACAACTTGTATTTTTTTTTATTTTTTTTTTGGTTATTGAAATTAAAATAATTTTCAAATGAATCTCTTTAATAATTATATACTTTTATCAATCATTTCATTAGTGATATATCCAATAAATTCACAACAAATTTTTACTTATGATGAGCAAATTGAGAACAGTAATCCCTTTATATATAATATTGTCAGTTATTTTGATAACTCGATAGTTGTTCATATAATTCGTGAAGATTTATAATACCCTATTGAGATAAATTCTTGTTATTTCGCACAAATTATCCTAATGGGACAGTAGGTTCCAACTGATATTAAATTGGATGTACAAGATTTTAACTTTTGTCTTTTGAACGTCAATGGACGACTTGTTGAAATTTTTCCTATAAGGATAAATTTTCTGTTAGTAACTTATGCTGAAGCCACGCATTTTGATGACCCTTTTACTTGTATTACTTATAGTGAAATGGCAATGGTTATTGATTTAAATGGAAACATTTATAGGTTAGTAAAATTGAAATTATAAAAAGTCTAAAATTGATCAACGAATTTGCAGAACATATAAGAAATGTACGAAATGTCATCAATTTTGCAAACCTTGTATGGAAAATTTACAAATTTGTCAAGTTAGTATTTTGATATATAGAAATTGTGTTGATTGTAATGACTGGAAAATACCTTTTAAAAATTTTCAGATTTGTCAACAATGTTTTGAAAGACGTAACGAATGTGGTGAATGGCAAAGCCCTTCTATAGAATATCAAGATATTTGTCAAATTTGTATTAAATTATATAAGAAATGTAATGAATGTTATAAATGGAGTAAGTCTTCTGAAGAAGATCCATGGATTTGTCAATTTTGTTACAAATCATATATTTCAAGTGGAAACCGAGTTTTTGATGACCTTATTAGATATACACAAATAAATTGTGAAAATCAAACAGTGAAAATGGAATTTATTCCTTATGATCGATTTGAGAATGTGGAATACATTGCTGAAGGAGGATTTAGTAAAATTTATAAAGCTATTTGGATTGATGGCCCAATTGAAATAAATTTTGAACGAAAATGTTTTACAACAGTTGCTTTCAAAAAACTCGAAAATTCTAAAAATTTTCTTTTAATGAGTTAAATGAGGTATGGTTTAATATTCTATTTCATTTATAATATAATATAATACAATAATTTAATGATTTTATTTGCTTTTTATAAATTCAGCTAAAAATATATTTTAACTTGAATCTAAACTGTGGATTATATAGTTCTTTTCATATAAATGAGTATTACGGAATTACCCTTGATCCTATTACAGAAGATATAATTTTTATTATGAATTTTCATGAATCAGGCGATTTGGGTCATTATTTGTCCAATAACTTTTTTTAATATTGATTGGAATAATAAGTTAAAAATCTTGGATAACATTTTAGGAGGGCTTTATCATATTCATAATCAAAAATTTATTCATCGAGATTTACATAGCGGTAATATACTTTGTGGCAGAACTTATAGCAAGAATCATGCGGTAATAAGCGATTTAGGAATAAGTAAGTCTTCAACTGAATCAACAGATATTGATAATATTTACGGAATTATTCCTTATATTGCTCCTGAGATTTTTTTAGGACAAGAGTATACTACAGCTGCAGATATATATAGCTTTGGTATGATCATGTGGGAGTTAATGACGGGTAGAAAACCTTTTTGGGATCAAGATCATGACACAGAACTTATAATTAAAATATGTGATGGTATGCGTCCTCCAATTGTCACCAATGCACCCGAGGGTTATATTGGATTAATGCAAAATTGTTGGAATTCTGATCCAAATAAAAGGCCAACCACTGATTATTTAAAGAAAGAAGTTAGTTCTGTTATAAATATTGAATGAAATAACAAAAATTATCAAGTCAACATATATTGGTCCTATAACCAATCACCAAAAGCAATATACAATAGTAGGCCGATAAGTCATATGATAAAGTCTGCAAGAATATTAAGATGCGAATCTATCACTTCTAGTATAGGTGACTATTTTATGCTATAATAATCATTTTAGCGATATTAGTTACTAAATAACAATATTTTTTAAATAATCTAAGGCAAGAAAAAATCAGAGCGTGAAGAGTATGTTACAACAAAGGATGAAAATAATGGTAATTGTTTTTATACTTTGTTTTATATATCATGAGTTGTATTTAATTGTATGCATATTTTTATAGTTTATGATATATTTGAATCGTTAAATTAAATGCAATAGTCTATTAGAACTTTACTTTTATGACTAAAATTAACGTTTTAATTGAGCAAGTTATATTGTTTATTTAAGAGCATAAGAAAATCGAGTTGATAATGTTGAATCAAAATTAATCAATTATGAAATATTTTGAAGCTTATCCATGATTAAATTTTGTGTTTCATATGCTGGCTATAACCAACATGATGTTTGTTTGATTGCACTATGTACTCACAATACTAAACTTTATTTAATAAAATGCGTAACTTCCAGTTAGCAATATCATCGTGCTCACCTATTTGATGTAGACGATCTTGTTTTTTGATATTTTTATTGAAAGTTTTTAATAAGCTATCTATTATAGTTTATTTTTTTGGGCTTTTTTAATTTTTATTAATATAATATATAAATATTAAACCGAATTAAGTTTTTTTATATATATATTCAGTCAATATCACGCTATATGGCACTAGATGGTTCGAAATCATGTATAATAAAATCAATCAATTTTGTTACTGTTGTACCCGAAATGCGTTAATGTCCGAAATGATCATTTCGGATATCCCAAATCGGAATGCGCATTTGGGATATCCCAAATGCGAAGATCGTTTCAGACATGAATTTGTCCCAAATGCGCATTTATCCCAGATGATCATTTGGGATATCCCAAATGCTCACTTCGGATATCCCAAATGACCACTTCGGAAATCATCCCAAATGCTCACTTCGGATAATATCCCAAATGCTCACTTCGGATATCCCAAATGACCACTTCGGAAATCATCTCAATGCTCACTTCGGATAATATCCCAAATGCTCAATTCGGATATCCCAAATGACCACTTCGGATAATATCCCAAATGCTCACTTTGCATAATATCCCAAATGCTCATTTCGGATATCCCAAATGACCACTTCGGATAATATCCCAAATGCTCACTTCGGATAATATCCCAAATGCTCATTTCGGATATCCCAATGGCTACTTTTGACATTCACGAATTATAATTTCGGACAAATGACCTCTTCCAACGTTTCAAATGACCAGAGACATATAGGAAAACAACATTATATGCCCAAAAGTTAATTACTAATTAAGATGCCCTACCTTTGTCATTTGGATCATTCGAAATGGTTTTTTAGAACATAAAATAGTCATATTGAGCATCCGAATTGATAATTTGGATCGAAGTGATTATTGGGTGAAGTGGTGTTCATATGGTGTATGATCCGAAGTGGCCATTTGGGATATCCGAAATGAGCATATGGGATATTATCCGAAATGAGCATTTGGGATATTATCCGAAGTGGTCATTTGGAATGATTTCCGAAGTGGTCATTTGGGATATCCGAAGTGAGCATTTGGGACAATAGCCGAAGTGGTCATTTGGGATATCCGAAGTGAGCATTTGGGACATTATCCGAAGTGAGCATTTGGGACATTATTCGAAGTGGGCATTTGGGATATTATCCGAAGTGGTCATTTGGGATATCCGAAGTGGTCATTTGGGATATCCCAAATGATCATCTGGGATAAATGCGCATTTGGGACAAATTCATGTGAAACGATCTTCGCATTTGGGATATCCCAAATGCGCATTCCGATTTGGGATATCCCAAATGCGCATTCCGATTTGGGATATCAGAAATGATCATTTCGGACATTAACGCATTTCGGGTACAACATATCTATTAGAAAATCAATTTTTATGGTTGATGCAGCACGAATTTACAAATCAGTACGAATTCTCATATAATGTTGATATTTATTTGTTATATATTTTTAGAAAGCAATTACAGGATAATTGAATCAAACTCCAAAAAATTTCCAAACAAGGTTCGTAGTTAGGGAAGGGTATCGGCTCTTCGGTTCTATTCCAGTTCTTCTCGCTTCGGCTCTTAGTAAAATATGAGCTATATGCATCAAATTTAAAATTAAATTTAAAACAGGTAAAACTTGATGAAGATAAATTAGAAAATTGTTTGATTGGTCATCAAACGATAGTTGATTGAGACCGTCATAATTTTAATGACAAACCGATTTCCCCAGAGTCGGTTCCGGTTCTATTTTTAATATTCCCAAACTCTGGTGATTCAGAATCTGCTAAATTTAGAATCGCTTCCAGAACTGACTCGAGTCGACTCATTTTGAGATTTCTACTCGTAG